ATGGCTGCCCAAGCATCAATTATAGAGACTGGGATCTGTGAATCTGGCCTCATTGACAGCATATCTTCCCAATGGATTACCCTTCCTTCATACTTGAACAGTTCTTGGGTCCTATTGAAAACAAAAGAAATATGTTAGGTATAAAACACAATCAGTCACTAATCATTTAGTATAAACACACCAATAGTTAACATAATATACACTAATATCACATAGAATAGCACATCAATGTGCATAGGATATTTATACACCAACATCATTATATAATGCACCAAATATTTATAAACAGCACACCATTGTTTCTAGAATGTGTTGTGCTTACAGATTTGGATTAGGATTTTCCAACACCCACTGCCTGATAGCTTCCTCTGTTGCAGATAATGGTGTGTCAATGTCAAGCACGTATGTGATCGGTCTTCATGCAATTGGGCTGTGCACTCTAGCTGGGCCTTTTCCCTTGTCTGCTGGTTGGGGTGGGGGGGGGGGGGGGGGGTGGACTCGATGCAGGGGCTGGCTGCCCTTGGCATTCTGGTGTGACCTGTAATATTTAAAGGTGAGAGCATCAGGTTTTATAGTGTGTTAATGTTGGATTTATTATAGTTTATTACCTCAGTATTAGTGTCAGCTGCGTGAGTCTCATGCAAGGCCTGTTTATGGTGGTCAGAGAGGGGTTCTTGTTGAGCTGTCTCAGGGCATTCTTGGTGTCTGTTTGCTGCTTGATCATCATCCACACCCAACTGAACTTCAGCAGGCTCATCAGCTTCGTTAACATCCTGGTAGTCACGTGCAATTTCACTCACATCTGCCCAGCTTTTGTTTGGTTCATCCTGTGACAATCCCAGGCTGAAAGAGGGTATATCATTTAGGAAGTTCCTTTTGTTCACCGCACGTACAATCTCATCAACTGCTTTCAGAAACTCAGGGTCACTCCAGTAGGCGTCTTCGCTTTGGGTAAATGTCATTTGTCCATCTTCCTGTGCTTTGAATCCTAGCATTTGTCTAGCAGACTCAAAAACTTGCTTGAATGTATGATGTTCCAAAACAGCAGCAGGTGCATTTTCAATCAGTCTGGATATTCTCAGCAAACTTGTTGCAATTGTCCTTGTGTTGCTAGTAATCTCATCAACAAACTCCTGCATATGCACATCAAGGATATAATAAAACACACCAATGTATATCAAAATATGCACTAAATACTATTAAGAAGCACACCATTATAGTACATTATCTTATTCACACAAACTGATTAAGGTACCGCATTGTAAGATGCACAACAGTCAATAGGTTTAAAAACAGTAAAAGAGATATAAGGGAGTACACCATGAATGTGACTCAAGTGGTCTGTTTTACCTGTAACGCAGTGGGAAGTGGTGCATTACTTTCAATAGCCAGTGGTTGGGGTCGAACATCAGATTGTATCAATGGGGGGGGGGGGGGGGGGGGGGGGGGGGGGGGGACTTCCTTCTTTGAACGGTGTGCTGTCCAATGGCAAGGCATCTTCAAGACGGCCATATCCAAAGCCACCAGATTTTATCTCTGCTTGTTCTCGTTGACGGAGCAGCTTAAATGTCCAGCTCTTCATGGCAGGGAAGCTTCTTGGGACTGTCCTCCGGTAGAGCACCACACGGTCAACATAGAATATCTGCATTTTGCATTTTAGAGTATTAATTGATCGGTGGGTAATAAATTAGATGCATCTTGCTGGTAGTATATTTACCATCAGGAAAATAATTGGTCCTCCGTATCTGCCATCAACACTGTCCAGCCATGACTGCTTGCTGGTGATGAGCGAATTAATGAGCATTCTACACCAATTTAGATTCTTGATGTTGTCAACATTTTGGAAGTTATCAATGTAGCTTTGGTTGACATAACCATTGACTTGGGGCTCAACCAATACACTCATTACAAGCAGTGCAAACTGCCTTTTGAACCAAGGATCAGTAGCATTTAGTCTCAACATATGCTCAGACATAATATGGGGGGTGATGTGGCCGTTAGTCTTTCCAAACATTGCTCTCCAGCCAGCCAATAGTGTAGACACTTTCCTTGGATGCCCTTTTAACAATTTCAATGCCTCCCATCGGCAGCCCCATTGTGGCAGCAACATCATGTTCTGTGATGGGTAGTCGTTCACCAGTTGGCAGGTTTAACGTGTTGCTCCTAGCGTCATAGTTTTGAACAAGCCAGAGCCCCAACTTCCTTGGGACATTGGTAATATTCAGGTCAAGAAGTCTCCCTAGTCCAATATCTTCTACACTTCTGCGTTGGGGATCAGTTAGGTCTGCAATTGGGTTCATTAATTGGGTGGGAAGGGGTCGTATCTTCAGGCCAGCTTCTTTGTCTTCAACATCCAGTACATCTTCCTCATCATTTGAGCTGGACTCATCTTGATTTTGTTGCTCGGAATCTTCATTTTGCAGCTCAACCTCGATTCTATCAATGAAGTCAAGGGCTTGTTGCCTCCTTATTTGTTTTGCTGCCGGGGGATCTTCTAGTTCTAATGTTTTCCTCTTGGTGTCTGCATGATATAAGCTCAATGTTGAAAAATACACCAATATCAAACTAAAACACACAACAATGTTTTTCACTCTATTCAAGTGATGCAGTCCAGAATACACTATTACTTATTGAAATATACACTACAATCAACAACACAAACACAAGAAATAATACACCAATATAAAACTAAAACACACAACAATGTTTTTTATTATATTCAAGTGATGTAGTCTAGAATACACTATTACTTAGTGAAATATACACTATTACTTAGTGAAATATACACCAATATCAAAATAAAACACACAACAATGTTAGTTACCATACTCAACTTAGGTAGGTCAGAATACACCAGTAGGTATTGAAATGTACACTACAGTCAACACACAAGTACAATCAAAAAATACACCAATATCAAAGAAAAACACACAACAATGTTGGTTACAATACTCAACTGAGGTATGTCAGAATACACCAGTAGGTATTGAAATGTACACTACAGTCAACACACAAGCACAATGAAAAAATACACCAATATCAAAGAAAAACACACAACAATGTTGGTTACAATACTCAACTGAGGTATGTCAGAATACACCAGTAGGTATTGAAATGTACACTACAGTCAACACACAAGCACAATGAAAAAATACACCATTACACCAGTATTTATTGAAATATATTACACGATGCCATTGACAATGCACAGAACAAAAACGATATGGACGAGTGGAAGCATGTAGGGCACTGAAAATACTCTAATTACCTATTTAGTATACACCGATCATCAATTAAAACACACAAAAAGGTCTATTTTGAGTATATATTACAGAATGCAGTGAGTTCATACCCATGCGCGCCGGTTCCTTGCATTTTTTCACCATTATTCGCCGTCTTTCGTGGAGTAAGGAGAGTACGTCGTCGCCGAGAGAGTGAGAGAAGTGGAGCGGTTCTCTTGTGCTTTGGGATTATGAATCGATATGACTTGTAGAAGGAACCTTCACACAGTGTTTGAATAGAATGAAATGACAGATCTACCCCTCTCTGCTACGCTATAGATAAATAGGCGCGCCATAAAATTATAATCTTGTCCGTTGGATTGAAATGATCAGACTCTTATTTGACCACACTGCCACACCTAATGTATATGCCATATGTGATCACTCCTCTATATATATATATATATATATATATATATATATATATATATATATATATATATATATATATATATATATATATATATATATATATATATATATAAAATATATATATATATATAAAGCGCAGCACACAGTGATGTTGAAACTGACGTTGTAACACAAACGATCTGTAACGTAGTTCGGGCAAACAACCCTAATCTGCGAGGCACTTCTCAACTTGAGAATTTACCTAAATCCACTAAAAAGCTCAATATTTAAAGCACACTGTTTGGAACCTGAGATTACACAATAGAATGATCTTTCCTACCAAACTATTAAAACCTAAACACATGTACTACTTTCTAGGGGAATTTAGTATCCTATTCTCAAAGACTCTCATACCTCACAAGATTAATGTTGAATGCTTGAGTTCTACAGTAAAGAACAACCCCTATTTATAGTAGTTACTCTTAATAGATTCGTGAATAACAAAGTTATTCCTAATCAAACTAGAACTAGAAAACCTTCAATAACAATTTCCTTTAGAACTAGTATTCTTCATTAGCTATTCCTCTTATGACTGGTATTCCTTTATAGAACTGGAATTCTTTTTGCACGTAACTTTGACAAAACACTTTGAGTCAACATTCTCTCCCTTTGTCAAATTTTTGGCAAAAACCTTGATTCCATAAAAAGCTTTGACTTCTGACTCATCTCCCCCTTAATTGATTCCATGTATCTCTTTTATTGGTGAGTGCTTATCTTTGAGTATGATTTGCTAAAAACAACTCTGTCCCAACTTGCAAAATAGCGCTATACATGTTGCTATTCATAACGAAACCTTCTCTCTTTCTCATACTCAAAGATAAGCACTCACCAATAACAGAGATACATGTTGCTATTCATAACGAAACCTTCTCTCTTTCTCCCCCCTTTTTGCTAAAAAGATTCCTTTTCTCTTTTTCTTGGTGACTAGCACGGGTTCTTGTTTTTTTTTTTTTTTAAAATTTTATTTTTATAGCCTGATTCCTCGCTTGAATCTTTGGGAATCTAGTTTGGCTCTTCCTCTGGTTCATTCTCTCCCTCAGAAAATCTATGGATATCCTCATCAGAGTTATTTGGAGAAGGTGGGTCGGGTTCCCATCCTTATTTTAGGGCAAAAACTGATTGACAAACATCATCATTTGGGTCCATGATGTGATTATTCCCTAAATCAACCGTAATTGGCATAAGGTTTGGCGGTTCTTCATACACTACAGTGGGAAGACTTGGATTACCTGGAGGTGGTTTGCGTTCATTCTGAATATTTTGGAAGGATACTTGTGAAATCGGAACAAGATCCTTAATGATCGTTGCAGGGCCATCATCCTCGATTCGAACTGGATTTGAGAAGACTTCGGTGCCGCTATGATGGGATGTTGTTCCCCTTCGAGGTAATTTCAGCTTTGGTTGTTGACGGGTTTTCACCATTGTTGCTTTCTGGTAGTGTTTCGGTGTATGATAAGAGATGGAGTGATGCGAGTGGGTGGTTTGTGGAAGAAGATGACCACGATCACCTTTTTTTTTTTTTTTTTTTTTTTTTTTTTTTTTTTTTACGTTGACTGGTCCCATGGGCCAGGACCTTGGGCCTAGTTTGGGTGTTTTTTCTGATTTTTCATTGATGAACCTGCCCAAGCTCCATAATTCTTTCACATATAGCGCATCCCAATTTCTGACCTTAATTTTGTATATCTATTACCGTCTAGTGCCTTATCAATGTTTTTGGGTTCAAATTTGGAGGTGTAGTAGTCTACTTTCATTTTGCGGTAATCTTGTTTCTTTCCTCTAGTCATTATTCCTTGATTGAGATCTCCTATGATATTTTTCAGAGGATGATTTTTCTGAGTTTTTAAGACAATAGAATGATTTTTATCCTTTTCTTCATCTGGTTCTGTTTCTGTTATGTAGTCCTGTATATCAGCAGTCAGAGGTGTTGGAACAGTTGTTTCAACAACTCTTGGACTTTCTTCATCAGCTGGAGTTACATCAGTAATGATCACATTCATGGATTCTATCACACTGTCTACACTGAAGGTCCTACTGTTTGATGAATAACCTCAGAATATTCCTTGGTCTCCTTTGATGTCATGAAAATTTATATGTCCCATATGTTGGTGCCGTAATTGTGTTTGCTTGATGGTTGTATGTAAAAAGATATGTCACCATCCCATGTATAGCATTCGTTTGCAGACCTTTTTCCCATCATGACACACTTGTGATTCTGATTAAACATATTGCAATTGTCTCTAGAGAATTCTACTTTAAGTTCATCTTAACAAAGTTTACTTATGCTGATTAGATTTGCTTTTAGACTTTGTACTAAGAAGACTTTTGGCAACCTATGCAGCCCATGGACATTTAAGGTACCACTTGCAATAATTTGTCCTTTTCCACCGTCTCCAAAAGTGACCTGCCCTTCATTTTTGTACTGGATGTTCTCAAGATTTTTCTGGATTTCCAGTCATATGTCTTGAACATCCGCTGTCAAAGTACCAAATGTTTTGCTTGTTGCTAATTCTTGTAGTATATGCAACAGCTTGTATTTGATCTTTTCTAACCCAGATTTTCTTGCTGTTACTTTTGCTTTGTACTGCCTAATATCTGTTGTTTTGTCTGTAATAGAGATTATTCTATCTTTTGAAGTAGTACGCCTTTATGTGTCCCAATCTGTGGCAGTAATAGCATCTGATTCTCCTTCAGTGTTGAAAGTGATGTTGTGACACCTCAGGATTTTCAGAAGAGTGGCTTTCACTGGATGTTGGATTTGGAGATCTAGGCCTTTCAGCTAGTGCCTTGATTTCTTGTAACTGTGTGAGGGCTCTTAGGGTTGGGGATTCTACCTTTGGGACAAGAATATGAATTACTATTATTAGTAATAGATATTTACATAGATAGCAAATTTGAAAAAGAAATGAGGGTGGCTGTAATAATGGTGATTATGAAAACGGTTAGGAAGATTAGAGATAATTAGGAGATGATTATAAGTACTACCATATACACATATCATAGATACATATATTCACGAACATACATATATATTAATAATCTGTCCATAATTATATAATACATAAATATCTACTTTATTGAAATTACTCACAATAAAATATCTACTTTATTGAAATTACTCACAATAATATATAGTATAAATCATCATCACATCAACATTACCATGCATAAAGGTGTAACTAATATATTAAAAGCATGATCATCCATTTCAGTCACAAAATAGTATTTCTAAAATAAATTAGGAAGTTATAATTTTAACTAAAATAATTTTAGTGCCAAAATAATCATCATTTTGCTTTAATAGAGATAGAGATTAATTCATGTGAATATTTTTTTTTTTGAAAGGAGCTGTCATGGCATTTATTCAAAATATTGTGAAATAGAGTGTGGTTGGACAGAGTCCCAATACATAGTAGCAGGCTGAATAGAAGTAGACGAAGCTAAAATATGAGCTAAATAGTTCTCTGCTCTAGGAATAAAAACAATTGAACAATAATTAAAAGATGCGATACGTGCTCTGTAGGCATCTATGGCATAGCCAATATACGACCTTAGTGAGGCCGTTGGTTCTGAGAGGTATTGCTTTAGAGTCAAACAATCTGTGAATAATTGTATAGAACGGTCTCCACGAGTCCATAACCATGAGAGAGCTTCCTTACATGCGAACACTTCCGCCATAAGCGGGGACTGACAATTTGGCAAGCGTATACTGAAGGCCGAAATATATCCTCCTTCTCCATCCATCAACACGGCTCCAGCAGTGGCAATACCCGTGTCGTGCGAGAATCCGGCGTCGAAATATCATTTCAACAATGGCGCATGGGTTTCCGGTGGTTGCAGCGTGTTCTCGGCCACACCTTGCTGCTGCCGTACTTGTGCATTCTGTACAACAGCGTTCGGCAGTCCAGTGGCATGCTGCATCGGCGTGTGATCTCGGGAGGGATGAGCTTGCTTCCATGCATGTACTACGGCGGCAGCTGAGGCAAGCACTCTCCGCGGGCGTGGCAGGCATGCATCCCACACTGCACCATTCCTGGCCCTCCAAATGTAATATAGAATTGCAGCTGCGTGAATAACCTGGTTAGTGTCTAAAATATTTAATAGTTCACTAAACCAAGTATAGAAAACATTTGTCATATTGATGGGGATTGGAAGGTGAGATTGGCTCCAAATGGACTTAGCATAATCACACGATACTAAAGCATACATTGTGTCCTCATTTGCCATCCCACACATGGCACATGTTGGTTGTATGTCCACTCTCTTTATAATCAGATTTACCGTAGTGGAGAGGATATCATTCAACGCTCTCCATAAGAAAGTTTTCCATTTGGGGGTATCTTGAGCCTCTATAGGCTTAGCCAATTGTCAAAGTTGCTCGTAGTATGATCATAGTCTCCAACAATAGCCCTGTACCCATTCTTTACTGTATAGTTTCCTCTCTGATCCCCATGCCAATACCACATATCGTCATAGTCTGGTGATACTGGTATTTTTAATATTCGGGGTATATCAATGGGGTCAAAAATATCTGTCAAAATATCCGGATCCCAAGTACTCGTATCCGGGTCTATTAACCCCTTAACAGTCGCATTACTCAAATGCATAGGTTTTTCTGTGTGGATCTTTGGATCGTGTTGGTCCTGCAGCCATGAGTGGTCTCATATTAACGTTGTTTCCCCGTTTCCAATTCTACGCCTGATCCCCCCACATACCATGTCATGAGCTTCCATAATACTGTGCCAACAGAAACTAGGGTTATTCCCTATACAAGCATCATAAAAAGTCCCTTTAGGATAATATCTGGCTTTATAGACTTTCGAAACCAGAGACTCAGGTGTAGTAAGTAATCGCCATGCTTGCTTACCCAACATTGCCAGGCTGAAAGCATGTAACTCCTTGAAGCCCAGACCCCCATGCTTCTTTGGTATACACATCTTATCCCAGGCCTTCCAATAGATGCGTCGGTCATTCCCAGATCCCCACCAGTAACGGTTCATAGTTCGCTCAATAGCTGTACATATTCCCATTGGTAATAAGAAAACACTCATTGAGAAAGTAGGCATAGCTTAAGCCACACTTTTTAACAAGATTTCCTTACCAGCCTGTGATAACAATTTCTTATTCCAGGAAACAATCTTATGCCTGATCCTATCCTCAATATACGAGAAAGCTGCTTTCTTATTTCTCCCTATAAAAGAGGGTAGGCCCAAATATTTCCCATAATTGGGAGCTTGGGCAACACCCAAAACATGCGCCACATCATTCATGTCTTCATCCCTCATATTCTTACTATAACATATACTAGATTTATGGTAATTGACCACTTGGCCAGACAACTTTTCATACTGTGCCAAACACTGTTTAATCACGTCAGCCTCCTGAATATTTGCCTTAAAAAATAACAAACTGTCATCAGCAAAAAATAGGTGAGATATAGGGGGAGCTCCTCTTGCAACTCTACAACCATGAATTGTTCCCTGAGAATGTGCTTGCTGTAATAGTAATGAGAGCCCTTCAGCGCAGATAATAAAGAGATATGGGGATAAATGATCACCTTGTCTAGCCCACGGGTCGGGGTAATAGGCAGGCTACGAGAGCCATTTAGCAAAATATTATAAGATACAGTGGTTACACATAACATAATAAGGTCCACCCACCTAGCATCAAATCCCAACGCCATTAACATATTACGTAAGAATGACCATTACATACGATCATACGTCTTCGCCATATCCAACTTTAATGCACCCCACCCAGTCATACCACACTGTTTTCTGTTCAAAAAATGACCAACTTCCGCAGCAACCAGAATATTATATATTATGAGCCTATCAGGTATAAGCGCACTCTGCGTATCAGAAATAATCTCATTCATAAGTGGCTTCATCCTGGCCGAGATCACCTTAGCCATAATCATGTATATCACATTACTCAGAGCTATAGGCCTAAGATCCGAGACCAACTCCGGGTTCTTTTTCTTGGGAATCAAGACTATATCAGTATCATTCAAATTAGCCGGAAAAGTACGAGTATTTAGGCAATTCACAATAAAGTCTGACACATCCCCTCCCACCATGTGAGCATATATCCATTAATGTGTATCCAACTATCAGCTTAGGCTTTTAGTTGAGATGGAGCACATACTTCAATTTGGTATCAGAGTCAGACGAAAGATCATGGGTTCGAATCTTAACGCCACTCGTAAGTGACTACGGTTTACCGGTCCACGTGTTGGTTGGAATCCACTGTACACGTGAGGGGGCGTGTGAGCATATATCCATTAATGTGTATCCAACTATCAGATGCTT